CTCCCCGCCCCCCGATCCCGCCTCCCCCCTCCCCTCCGCCAGGGGCGTCAGACGCACGGTCACTTCCGTCAGACGCAGGGAAGTGTCTTCCGGCTCCGGGAGTTCCCGGAAGTGTCCGGGGGACCGGCTTCCGGTCCAGGTCGGGGCAAAATGGCACTGCCCGCTGTGTTGCCGGCTCTGACGCGGGTGAGGAGCGTGGAGGTTGTGGGGCCCCAGGCGGGCGCTGAGCTCGTCCTCCTCCTCCGTCTTCAGCCCGCGGGCGGCGTCCAGCTGCTGACGGCCCGGGGCAAGGGCAGGCCCAAGGGCAGGCCAAGGAGAGGTCCTTCTCGCAAAGTTAGGAGGTTCCAGTCGCCCCCCCCCTCCCGAGCCCGCGGTGCCTGTCCTGTCGTGTATAAGCTAGATCCGCCTTCCTGTCAGGCCCCGGGCGGCTTTCACCTGTTCCCCGCGGGGAGGGGGGCCCGGGGTCCTCAGGGCGCCCCAGTCTCTGTTCTTGTCTTTCCTGATACCTGGCACCATTGCACGCCGCATCGTACGGCCTCTCTTCCTTTTCCGTGTAGGTGTTTACCCCTGTACTCCTCTCTCTCGGTGCTCCTTTTTGCTGCACCCAATAGCATTTTGTATGCGGTGTCTTTTGTCTCAAGATAGTTCCCGATTTCCCGTCTGATCTCTTCTTTGACTTATTGGAACCATCGGTTAAGTGTGTTGGTTTCGCGTACTTACACATGTTCCAGTTTCCTTCCACTGTGGTCAGAGAAGGTCTCGTGTAATTTCTAGCTCCTTGGACTCCGTTTTGTAACTTCACCTGGGCTCTCCCCTGGGGCAAGCGCCCAGTGTGCTTGAGCAGAGCATATTCTTGCGGCTGGTGGGTGGAATGTTCTATGTCTGTTTGGTCAGCTGGGTCTATAGTGTTGTTCAAGTTCTCTGTTTCCGAATTGATCTCTGCTTGGATGCTCTGTGAGGTATTGAAATCTATCATTATGTTGCTATTTCTCCATTTGGTCAGTGTTTGCTACATATGTTTGGGTGCTCTGGTGTTGATTGCATGTGTATTTATCATTGTTATATCTTCCTGATGAATTGCCCTTTTTATCATTACACTAGAGGCCCTGTGCACGAAATTCGTGCACTGGAGTATGTGTGGGGGTCCCCTCAGCCTGGCCTGCACCCTCTCGCAGTCCAGGAGCCCTCGCTCCTTACCGCCCACCTGCTCACTGCTCCTTACTGCTTGGCTCCCTGCATCTGCCCCCTGGTGGGGAGGGACCTTGGGAGGGCTCCAGGGCATGTCTGGCCTGTCTTGCTCAGTACCTATCGGCTGGACTCCAGCAGCAAGCTAACCTACTGGTTGGAGCATCTGCCCCCTGGTGGTCAGTGCACATCATAGCAAGCAATTGAGCATCCTTAGCATATCATTAGCATATTGCGCTTTGATTGGTTGAAGGGCCGACTGGACAACCAGACACTTAGCATATTGGGCTTTTATTATGAGAACTAGAGGCCCAGTGCACGAAATTTATGCACGGGTAGGGTTTCTAGGCCTGACCAGTGATCAGGGCCATTGGGGCCTTCTGGCTGCTGGCCAGGGTCTTCCTTTGTTCTGTGCCGCCCCCTGGTGGTCAGCGCACATCATAGCGAGCAATCGAACTCTCGGTCTCCTGATTGAATTTCCGAGGGGCACTTTGCATATTAGCCATATATATATATATA